ACCCACGCAGCAGCAGCATCACTGAACCTGCTTCCCAAAGATCCCGAGGTGGCAGTGACCCATGACAGCCCCGTCTCATGCGGGACACGTACGAGGTTGCACTGGAGAGTGGACTGCAGGTCCTGCTTGTGTGGCACTGCTTTGTCCTGTTAATTTGCTTCTAATAGAGGTGCTCGCTTAAGGATTTCATCTGGGTTTTGTAACCCAGAGCCTCGGGGAGGCCTGTGTGTGCTCTCCCTCTAAGTGCAGAGTCCTGAGAAAGGCAGAGGGCGACAGACCGCCCGGGGTCACGGAGCGGATGGGGATGAGGTCGGTCTCCAGAACGAGGAGACTTCTGTGCAATGCTGTGTCTTCCCCTTCTGCGGTCATCAACGGTTTGATTATGACGGCACTGGGAAGAGTGAGCTCGGGATAGATCAGTGAAAATGAGCACTGTCCCTTCAACATTTTGAAGGTTCTGAGCAGAGAGGCGCCTGGTGTGCCTGCTGTTGCAGCTTTTGCTCCATGATGCCAGTCAGGAGTGGGCAGCCAGCGAATGGGGGCTCCACCAGCCTCGGGCTGCCTGGAGTCGTCCCTGTCCGTGCCTCTGCTGTCAGCCTGTGTCCCCTGCAGACGCTGGGGCTGTGGCGTGTTCACTCGTTACCTCCTGGCTGTAAGTGGCTTTCTGATTATTCAGAGTTGTGATCATATGATTTTTGCATACCTAGATTGGTCCTTGGCCTTCGATTTTCTGAGGAGGAATCTGAACCAGGGATGGATGTGACGCTTGTAGGTGACTCAGAAATCAGGAGGTCTGACAGAGACTTGTGCTGGGAAGCTGTAGTCACGGCCTTGGAATTTCCTGAGCCACACAAGGGCTGGGGTCGAAGGGTTGATTGCGGATTGCGAGGTGCTGTTGTAATGCATCCAGCATCCTGGGATGGCCCTGGGGACCTAGGAATGGGACTTGCTTCGAGCTGGCTGTGTTTGGGCTGCGGCTGATGGTTTTGAACTCTGGGTTCTGTTTGATGATCAGGTTTTCAGGCACAGCATTTCAGGTCCTCTGGAGAGTGCTGGTGATTTTCCTACACAGAACATGGCTTGGAGATGTTCCTTCTTTCTCAGTGCACACGAATCATTGGTATTTCTTATTCATTGTGTCAAAACAGGTGTGGTGGCACACGCCTACGTTCCGAGCACTCTGGGAGGCCGAGGCAGGAGCTCAAAGGTTTGAGCCCAGCCTGGGCAACTTGGTGATTTAGCAAAGACCCCGTCACAAAATGCAAAAATAAAGGAGGGGTGGGGATGTAGCTCCATTTCAAGAACAATCCAGTACTGCAAATGCATGCATACTTATGGATCGATAAATTTCATGAGTAGGTACAGTGGCTGAGTTGTATCAGAAATGAATGTGCGTCGCAGCTTGGTAACTTGCTTTGCACAGGGCGCTGAGGAGCAGGCATGCGGTAGCTTGGTCAGAAGACTGCGGGCTTGCGACCAGGACCCTGAGCAGTGCCCTGCACCTGCCTTCCCCTTCCGCAGCCCCACCCCCAGTGGTGTTACCGGCACGTTCCAGTGTGAATTAGCCACAGGACACTGAGAAGACATAACAACATGTGTTCATTGGCTACTTTTTAGTCTATGTTTTATTTTTGTATTTTTATTTTTTCTAAGTTCTTTTATTGGTACATTTGAGGTATACAGTTCGTTTACATTTATCATTGGGTGTTTGTATCTGTACATGATGTATCTTGGTTCTTATTTTTTCCTCATTACCTGTGCGCCCTTCACCCCCTCCACCCTTCCCTGTTTACATAGATTTCATTCCCTTTTTTTTCTTTTCTCATAGTTTTTCCTTTCCCTCTTTTGCTTTCCCCTTCCCCTCCCTTCACCCCTTCATTTTTGGACCTTTTTTCCTATTTCAAATTATCAGTTATTCATTTTAATCTTTTTAACCCTTATTTACACTCTCAGTTTCTCACACTAGAGAAACTATTCGGTATTTACACATGTGTGTCCTATTTATTTCACTTAAGAGTATGGCCTTGATATGGCATCCATTTAGCCATAAATGTCTCTAGTTTGTCTTTCTTTATGGCTGACTAGTACTCCATTAGTCTTTATTTTAAACCACACAAGTTTTTCTCTGGGCCCGGGATCTGTGGCTGCCTTGCACTCCTGTGAAAAGGAGCCTGATTCTGAGGTTGCTGTCCTGAGACATCTCCAACCCGAGCTGTGGCAGCTGGTGCCCCAAATGTAGACGTGTCCACCCTCCTGCCCAGTCCTGTCTCCCCAGACCACTTCCGGTCACGGTCCTGGTCACGCTTGGCTTCCCGCTCCTTCTGCCTGCAGGGAGCGCATGCAGCAAGCATTCGATCTGCAGTCGTCTGGCCCGGGCGACAGCTCTAATTCTCATTTGTAAATTAATAAACTTGCTTTCATGTGTTAAAAATAGAAGTCCAGCTAATCAAATTTGCTGAGTAAGGACCCTGTCAGGCTCCATTTCCTGTGGCTGACCTCAAACAGTGTCTCTCATCTTTCTAGAGTTGTTAAATATTATTTGGCTGGGGGAGCGTGGGAAAGAGCCCCCGTAAGCCTGTGCCCTAGCACATCCACTTTCAGTTTGGCCTTCTCAGCCCTGTTCCAGGGGAGGCGGTTGTACCAGCTGCATGTTCTGTTTCGTGCAGTATTCTGCTGTGCTTGCTTCCGCTGGAATCGTAACTGTGTCACTGTGTGCACACAGCCCTCATGATGCAGTGCGTCCTAACAGGAGGTTGGGCGAATTGGGGTGGACACCTTGCTGTCAGAGTAACGCTTTTCCACACATCCCTCCAGTCACAGAGCACTTGGCAGGCCTGGGCTTGGGACGGAATTGCATTGTAGCAAGAGAGTTTGTGGTTCGAATAAATGCCAGCTGCATCTATGTGAAGCCTTGTTCTCCAAGGATTTCCTTTGTGGGCGATGCCGAGCCTCCACTTGTGCCCAAGCGGCTGAAGATGAAACCAAAGGACAGCAGTATTATTTCACAATTGTTAGCATTCAGAAGGAAGTTTCAGTGTGCCTGGCAAACCGAAGAAAGCCACATATGCCTGCCTTCTTGGCATACACCCACGAGGGTGCCCCTTTTGTGAACCAATGAGGAGAGCAGGGTGCTCCGGTCCTGCTGGCGCATGGAACAACAGACAGGCGTCCCTCTGAGAACCAGACATGGCCCTGGAGTCTTGGAGTGGCGCCTCCACGAGCAGGATTCAGTCGTGAGTTTCGGTCCAGACTCTTCTCCGTGGCAGCTTTTGCAGGGATATTTAAAATGCGAGGCCTGCTTGCAGATTCCCCAGGAGTAGACACTAACATCTCCATACATAGCTACTTCCTTGAATTGCAGAGCAGATGAAGTGAGATTATTTAAGGTAAAGAAGATTTTGTTTTCCAAATGAAACTTAAGACATTCAGGATAAATGTTGAATTCTGAACTTTATGTGCTTTGGAATATTTTGAGAAAGTGATGAACTAGCTCTTTTTTTATTACTGTGATTAAAACTTTATTTGCTATAGAAATGCCTTGCACACACAAAGTTGTTTTCGTAAAATGTGTTAGAATCTGAATAAGTGACTTGAAAGCGTGTGCATACCCTTGATATTCTGCAGTGTAAGGTAGCTCAAAACTTTGTTGGAAAGATGCAAAGCACAAGTAGCATTTCTTTCATAAAACTCTTCCCATCTCTATTCTGCTGGGAATTTTCTCAAACTTGCAACAAATGTTTTTCAAAGAATTTCAAGATAAGCTGCCGGGTGTTTGCACGACTTCCCTCCCTAGAACTTTACTCCATCAGCCTTCCTCGGGAGAACGGAACTGCTATAGCTCGAGAGCTGTATCCTAAGTGCCTGTGCAATGCCTATTAACTGCCCTGATGAAATACAGCAAACATTTTTGGTGTACTTTTTTGTTTTGATGAAGAAGTCATTCATGTATGTGGTGTGGCAGCACAGATTTTGGTCTAATTTTAAAGCGTGCTGGTTTTCATTGAACTTGACAGTGGAACTGAAATGAAGCTGATGGATTTTTAAAATTAAGTCAGTCAGAAGGCCTCCTATGTGACAGATTCTTCTAGGACGGCAGCTGGTCTCCCTGTTAAGGCGGTTAACACCTAAGGAAGGACTTCGCACAGACACTTCCCTTAGCCATAGCCTCCTGCTCTGACTTGTATGTGCATAACGGCAAGCCTTTGGGCTGACGTTCTGCTCAGTTACGGTCTATTTTAATCCTTTGATAGAATACTTACAAGTTGGTGAAACTTTTCTTGGAATTTTTGAGAGCTGGAGAGTGGTGAGTCAGTATGATAACTCAGAATTCAGAGATGTTTGAGATTTGGCCTGTCCAAGCCACCCATGCTCCTTGATTTAGGTCTTAAAACTAGGGGGATCTGGCTCCATGGGAGCATGATGGGATACTTGCTTTGATGCAGGAATGAGGGAATTTTCTCATAGGGTCTATGACAGTTTTGGATGTGCGGGTGGTCAGAGAATATTTCCTGTTGGATAAGAGAACATCTTTCCTGGAGAAAGTGCTCATGAGAAACGCCCCGATGGGCCTGCAGTGAGCCGAGGCCAGGATCTGCTCATGTGCACCTTTCATTTGATCTGCTTAAGGAGGCTGGCTGCAGGGAAAGGTGTCTTTCCTGGGAGATACTAGGCTAGAAGGAGCCTCGTGAGCCAGCTCAGGAGAGCCATTACTACATTTGCAGGAATTTTGGATGCCAGTTTTAAAGCCATCTTCATTAAAATTAAATTATATAAATACTTCACACCCAGCCTCCAGAATAGTGCCTGATACAATAGAGAGTGCTCAGTAAATATTTTTGAATGCATGAATGAAGCAGTCCTGCCACTCCTTGGCATGATGTGGTGCCAGCTCCTCAGGGAAAGCTCCGCCCAGGGGAATATGCTCGTGGAGCTGGGCTAGGGATGCTCTAACTTTTGCCTGACCTCTGGACTCTCAGTGACCACCATTTCTCTTCTCTTAGATGACGGAGGGCCGTCGATGTCAAGTACATCTTCTTGATGACAGGAAGCTGGAACTCCTAGTACAGGTAAATCCCTTCTGATCAACTTTCTGAGTTTGCTCTGAGACTGATGGGATTCAGAGGTTGGTTTATTGGGGGAGGGCGGGAGAGGATGTCAACTCTTTTTAAATCTCAGTCTGTTAAAATCCGTGGGAGAGTGGCTGTGACTCACTAGACTGCTTTGTGGGTGTGCTATTTTTGTTCAGTCTGTTTCTGGGTAAACCATGCCTGAGGCGTTCAAGGCCAGATGTATATCTAACCTATTGTTACAATTCTCTAGAAAAGGAAATTCCACAACTGCCATTAGCTATTCTTTCTGCTTGGAAGGAGTTTGTCGTAATGTAACCTGAATAATAACTTGCTATAACTAAAGCTGATTTAGTCTCTTGCTCAGTTCATTCTTTCCAAGTTGAGCTTTCATAGTTGTCAGGCAAGAGCAAGACTCTGTGCTCTGCCTTCCCTCTAAGGGCTGCTGGCCCCTTCTTCCCCATCCCACTGCTGCACATTGCCATCACCGTGAACATCTGGAGAAACAGAAACATAGGAAATCAACCAACTTCTTCCCAAACTAAGAACGCATTGGAGCCAGAAAAGTCAGGGAAGTCCTTAGAATTGTAGGCCCTGGTGTGCCCACCTCGTCCTGGTGGAGACCGTGTTGTGCCCAGAGCCCTAAGGAGTGGTGATGTTTCTAAACCTGACCTCTGTAATGCCATTGCCTGATGTCCTCACATGCCTTTCTCAGGTTCTCAGGGTGCTGTGACTCATCCTCTGCACCTTTTGCTGTGAAAATACTACCCGTAGTTTACCAGGGGGATGGGGTGCCGGGTGTGCATGCTCAGGGAGGTGGCACGTTGCCTCGGGGAGAGCCTCCACCAACCCTGTTCTCTTTTACTTGTATGTGCTACTTAAATTTTAAAATGATCGATCTGCTAACTTTAAGAGTTGATACTTTTACTAGGATTCAAATTTAAAGATATTACAAATGCAAAAAAAATGGAAAGATTTATAATCACACCACACTAATTCAACCTCTGTTCTCATCTCAGTGAATTTCTTTCCAACATTTTTTGTATTTAAATTTCTTGCATGGTTGTAATCATAATGTACATATGATTCTTCACATTTTATTTTTCCACTTAATATTGTCTTCCATTAGCATTTTCTACATCACCATAAACCATCCTCTTTGTGAAGAGATGCATAAATCCCAGAAACAGATATACTACTGTTACCTAATTATTCGCTCATACTTCAATACATTTAAGTATTTAAGTATAATACTTTAAAAAATAACCATTCTGCTATTACAAGTGAGTGCTGTGATTAGCCTTACTGTAGCATCCTCTAGTCTGGATCCTGTGGCCTGCACTCTTGTGAGAAGTCAGACCTGTGGTTGGGATTTGGGCAAGTGAGGCAGCAGAGGAAATCATAAAGCCCAGCAAGATCTTTTCAATTGGAGTCTCTCTCACCACCCAGCGTCTGAAGCTTTAAATGCTTAAGAATCAGTGTGAGGCGTCGTCTGTCTGCCGTGTTTCATGCGCTCCTCTAAAATCAAAGCGTGGGAGCCCAGAAAGAGGCCACCTCCTGCAACAGGAAGTAAGACCGTAAATCGAGTTTGTTACCACATAGCGGCTAAAGGCCTTGGGGGAATACGACGGGGCAGCTGAAATGGACCTGCGTCACAGGAGCTTTGTTCACTTACCGACGTGCACAGTTCGAGAGCAGCTGTCCTCAACCCCATAAAGTCAGGAGCGTGTTGAGTTAGCCCAAGCAAGGGAAACTCGTGCTCTTCGCACCCTGTTACGGACCATGCTTTATGAGCTGTCCCCTCTTCCTAGAACCATCTCTCCCACGCCCCTGCCCCCCGGGCCTGGCTAGTGTCCACGCAGTCTGCAGCGCTCAGTGGGCCGACACACCCACACCCCCTCTAGGGCGCTGCCTGCCGCTCTCAGGAGCCCTCCTGGTCTGGGGTTTACAGGGCCCGCCGGTGCCCTCTGCCACACCTCCCTGCCATCCTGTTTCCTCATCACCATTTCCTGGAGCCCCTAACAATCTGAGAGGGAGGAGGCCTGTGTCTCGGACATGCGATGTCACCAGATAAATACCGAACCAGAGAATGTGAGGGCCTTAAAATGCCTTGACACTGTATCTTTAAAAGGATTTCTTGTCACAGTACAAATTGCTTAGCAGGAGATTTAATTTATTTTTACAAAAACGTTTATATAATTTTTTCATATATACATGCCCCATGCATGGAAAGATCCCAAACTCCACTGCAGAGTGGGCTTCAGCAAAAGTAAAAAATAAAAAACAAGATTAAAATAGAAATTAAAAGCCAGCCTAAATATATGAGTTGTCTTCTCTTTACAAAGTTCTCTCGTTCAGGGTAATATTCTTTTGGCGGAATAAGAGCGATTTCAGAGTATCTGTCTGATCGACACCTGTGAGACCTTGGCTCAGACCCTTTGCCAGCTGGGCAGGGAGGGAGAAGGCAGCTGCACTCCCCTGGTGAAGGGTGAGAGGTACAGGTGTGGGTCTCCAGGAGTGGATGTCTCCTGTGGGCAGCAAATGGCCTGGATGAGGTGAGCAGTGCAGGCCCTAAGATGTGGTAGAGGTGCAGCTGCATTTCGTAGCCGCTGGCTGTGTGGGTGGGAGCCTCGTGAGCCGCACCTCACATCTCCTGCAGCAGTAGTGTTTGCTGCAGAAGCAGATTCGAATCAGCCACTGCCTGGAGGCTGTGTCCGAGTTGTCCGTGGTCTTCCTAACAGACACTCGCTTCCCATCGGAGCTTACTGGGACCTGGACAACCGCACAGGTCATGTCAGGCCATGGTGTAAACCTGGCCGCCCCAAGTGTGCCATGGCCGGAGCTGAAGATGGCCCCTCGTCTCTCCGTGCTCCTTTCGCCTCCATAGATTAGAGACTCACACTGCAGCCCCTGGATGCCACAGCCCCAGGAGGCAGTTACCTTATATTCTTCCCTGTTCCCTTCTTGCACATACCCCATCTCGAAACAACCATGCTACATTCCACCTAGGCCACTTGGGCCACGTAGCACTATTTCCCTGCCTTTGCTTCCTATTTGCCTTCCACTATAAATAAAGAGCATGTGGTGCTCCAGGCGGCCATCAGCTCCCCACAAGCTATGGTTCCACCTGGTCCCAGCTAAGAGTAATCTTGGTCTTCATCACTTTTTGTCATCTCCCACCGCTCTCCCTGGCTTGGGACCCTGTGCTGTGTGGGCTGAGGCACAAGTGTACATTCCCCTTCCCCGAGTTAGAGAGAAAAATGGCCATGATGCTAACATCAAGTGCCGATGACATCAAACGCTTCGAGATGACTGAGTGACGCCTGTGCTTCCAAATCCCCAACTGTCCCCAATTAATTGCACATTCCCCACTTGGAGTAGGGCAGAAGATCAGCAGTATATGCACCAGGAGTTATTCTGATGTCCACAGGTGCCTTCCTGATGCCCGTCTTTCCCATGCAGCTCCTAAGCCCCTCGAGTGCCCTTAAGGTCTGCAGGGAAGATGATGGGAGGGAGCACTCAGCAGTGGAGTAGGGTCTGTGATGGTCAGAAAGCTGGTCTCCCCTGATCCAGCCTGCAGCGTTCCCTCCTTCTGCCCTCCCAGACTCTTCCCTGGTTAGAAATGCGCTAAAGAAGCCTTCATCAGGATGAGAGAGACTCCTGAGGGGTATGTGCATGTTTTGTGTTAAACTCAACTTCTCAAGCCTCAACCTTTTATTGTCACCCCTTTGAGATTGTTTTCTTCATTCTCCCAATCTGAATGCATCTTTGGAGGAGCAATTTTGAAAGCAAAGAAAGGGAAGTGTCCTTTGGCTACAACGAGCACTCATTCAGGAAGGCTGAGGGGAGGCTCTGCTCGGTGAGAAGCAGTAGGTGGGATTGTGGAAGCCGTCCATAGGGAGGACTCCAGGCTCCTTTCTGGGGCTTCTTGAGAGCAGAATGGAGGACGGAAGTGCGGCCTTCCTGAGCTGGTCTCACTGGGAGCTCGCAGTGCCGGAGGACGCCCTGTCTGACAGCGACGCGTACTCTCGCTTACTGCTTTCCCCTCACTTCAGATGAGGACATGTTATGATCCCCTGGCAGAACTTCTTCCCCGTGATGGAAAAGCTTTCCTCATCAAGGTCCTCCCTGTCCCCGGCCAGGCACCCCTGTTGTTTGTGTAGGTGACTGTCCCGTGGTGTGAGGTGTGCTGAGTCCTCACCCTGCCCAGGGTGGCTGTGTCTCCCCTCTGACCCCATCTCCCGGGGCCACTGGTGAAAGTGCCCAGTTCTTGTAAAATAAAGGAACAAAAGGCCTCCGTGATTCTGAAAAATGGGGCAAACTTGCTAGCCAGCGCTCACAGGAGAATTCGATGATAGCTACATCATTGCTGGCACTGTAGAGCGTTCCTCATCTTGAGAGAGTCTTGGGCTCAGAAGGAAGCACAGGAAGTCTTATGGAGCGGTGGCCACTGGCCTCAGGTTTCGTTGAGCGTGCAGACTGAGACGTGTGATAAGTGAAAATAGACACTGGATGTTCATGACTTCATTTTTAAAAAGTGGAATGGCTTATTAATGGGTCTTCTATTGATCCCATGTTGAAATGGTAATATTTTGGATATACGAAGGTCAAAAAAATATATAATTAAATGAACCTCACCTCTTTTCCTTTTTCAATGTGGCTATTAAAAATTAAAATTTTGTATTGGGTTTACTTTGTGGCTCACATTCTATTTCTATTGGATGGCTGTCTCTAAAGGATAGAGAAAATTAAACAGGAGAAAAAAATTAGGAACATAATAGGATTCCCTAGATTTCATACTGGACGTCTGGTATAATCATAGGTACATTTTGCAATTCTTTTTAAAGTTTATGTGGAGCAGGTCTGGCTTACCCCTCATAGTACCTGTGTAAAGTTAACTCTGTCTTGGGTTAGCAAAAAGAAATTCAGAAGGCTAAATCACTTGCTGCAAGTCAGGGGGTAGTTGAGTGGAGTGTGCAGCTTAGACATAGGGCTGTCCC